AGATATCGAAACTCAAAATTTCGACCCGAAAAAAAAACGACAGTGTTACCCCTTACGTTTTTTTCAGTTTTCGGGCGAAAAATCAAGTTTCTCCAATCTTCTCAAAACTCTGGATTATGATAGAGGGCCGCGAGACTTTGACCTGAGCGCAAAAATGGAGGCTCTAGACCCTTCCAGAGCTGAGATATCGAAACTCAAAATTTCGACCCGAAAAAAAAACGACAGTGTTACCCCTTACGTTTTTTTCAGTTTTCGGGCGAAAAATCAAGTTTCTCCAATCTTCTCAAAACTCTGGATTATGATAGAGGGCCGCGAGACTTTGACCTGAGCGCAAAAATGGAGGCTCTAGACCCTTCCAGAGCTGAGATATCGAAACTCAAAATTTCGACCCGAAAAAAAAACGACAGTGTTACCCCTTACGTTTTTTTCAGTTTTCGGGCGAAAAATCAAGTTTCTCCAATCTTCTCAAAACTCTGGATTATGATAGAGGGCCGCGAGACTTTGACCTGAGCGCAAAAATGGAGGCTCTAGACCCTTCCAGAGCTGAGATATCGAAACTCAAAATTTCGACCCGAAAAAAAAACGACAGTGTTACCCCTTACGTTTTTTTCAGTTTTCGGGCGAAAAATCAAGTTTCTCCAATCTTCTCAAAACTCTGGATTATGATAGAGGGCCGCGAGACTTTGACCTGAGCGCAAAAATGGAGGCTCTAGACCCTTCCAGAGCTGAGATATCGAAACTCAAAATTTCGACCCGAAAAAAAAACGACAGTGTTACCCCTTACGTTTTTTTCAGTTTTCGGGCGAAAAATCAAGTTTCTCCAATCTTCTCAAAACTCTGGATTATGATAGAGGGCCGCGAGACTTTGACCTGAGCGCAAAAATGGAGGCTCTAGACCCTTCCAGAGCTGAGATATCGAAACTCAAAATTTCGACCCGAAAAAAAAACGACAGTGTTACCCCTTACGTTTTTTTCAGTTTTCGGGCGAAAAATCAAGTTTCTCCAATCTTCTCAAAACTCTGGATTATGATAGAGGGCCGCGAGACTTTGACCTGAGCGCAAAAATGGAGGCTCTAGACCCTTCCAGAGCTGAGATATCGAAACTCAAAATTTCGACCCGAAAAAAAAACGACAGTGTTACCCCTTACGTTTTTTTCAGTTTTCGGGCGAAAAATCAAGTTTCTCCAATCTTCTCAAAACTCTGGATTATGATAGAGGGCCGCGAGACTTTGACCTGAGCGCAAAAATGGAGGCTCTAGACCCTTCCAGAGCTGAGATATCGAAACTCAAAATTTCGACCCGAAAAAAAAACGACAGTGTTACCCCTTACGTTTTTTTCAGTTTTCGGGCGAAAAATCAAGTTTCTCCAATCTTCTCAAAACTCTGGATTATGATAGAGGGCCGCGAGACTTTGACCTGAGCGCAAAAATGGAGGCTCTAGACCCTTCCAGAGCTGAGATATCGAAACTCAAAATTTCGACCCGAAAAAAAAACGACAGTGTTACCCCTTACGTTTTTTTCAGTTTTCGGGCGAAAAATCAAGTTTCTCCAATCTTCTCAAAACTCTGGATTATGATAGAGGGCCGCGAGACTTTGACCTGAGCGCAAAAATGGAGGCTCTAGACCCTTCCAGAGCTGAGATATCGAAACTCAAAATTTCGACCCGAAAAAAAAACGACAGTGTTACCCCTTACGTTTTTTTCAGTTTTCGGGCGAAAAATCAAGTTTCTCCAATCTTCTCAAAACTCTGGATTATGATAGAGGGCCGCGAGACTTTGACCTGAGCGCAAAAATGGAGGCTCTAGACCCTTCCAGAGCTGAGATATCGAAACTCAAAATTTCGACCCGAAAAAAAAACGACAGTGTTACCCCTTACGTTTTTTTCAGTTTTCGGGCGAAAAATCAAGTTTCTCCAATCTTCTCAAAACTCTGGATTATGATAGAGGGCCGCGAGACTTTGACCTGAGCGCAAAAATGGAGGCTCTAGACCCTTCCAGAGCTGAGATATCGAAACTCAAAATTTCGACCCGAAAAAAAAAACGACAGTGTTACCCCTTACGTTTTTTTCAGTTTTCGGGCGAAAAATCAAGTTTCTCCAATCTTCTCAAAACTCTGGATTATGATAGAGGGCCGCGAGACTTTGACCTGAGCGCAAAAATGGAGGCTCTAGACCCTTCCAGAGCTGAGATATCGAAACTCAAAATTTCGACCCGAAAAAAAAACGACAGTGTTACCCCTTACGTTTTTTTCAGTTTTCGGGCGAAAAATCAAGTTTCTCCAATCTTCTCAAAACTCTGGATTATGATAGAGGGCCGCGAGACTTTGACCTGAGCGCAAAAATGGAGGCTCTAGACCCTTCCAGAGCTGAGATATCGAAACTCAAAATTTCGACCCGAAAAAAAAACGACAGTGTTACCCCTTACGTTTTTTTCAGTTTTCGGGCGAAAAATCAAGTTTCTCCAATCTTCTCAAAACTCTGGATTATGATAGAGGGCCGCGAGACTTTGACCTGAGCGCAAAAATGGAGGCTCTAGACCCTTCCAGAGCTGAGATATCGAAACTCAAAATTTCGACCCGAAAAAAAAACGACAGTGTTACCCCTTACGTTTTTTTCAGTTTTCGGGCGAAAAATCAAGTTTCTCCAATCTTCTCAAAACTCTGGATTATGATAGAGGGCCGCGAGACTTTGACCTGAGCGCAAAAATGGAGGCTCTAGACCCTTCCAGAGCTGAGATATCGAAACTCAAAATTTCGACCCGAAAAAAAAAACGACAGTGTTACCCCTTACGTTTTTTTCAGTTTTCGGGCGAAAAATCAAGTTTCTCCAATCTTCTCAAAACTCTGGATTATGATAGAGGGCCGCGAGACTTTGACCTGAGCGCAAAAATGGAGGCTCTAGACCCTTCCAGAGCTGAGATATCGAAACTCAAAATTTCGACCCGAAAAAAAAACGACAGTGTTACCCCTTACGTTTTTTTCAGTTTTCGGGCGAAAAATCAAGTTTCTCCAATCTTCTCAAAACTCTGGATTATGATAGAGGGCCGCGAGACTTTGACCTGAGCGCAAAAATGGAGGCTCTAGACCCTTCCAGAGCTGAGATATCGAAACTCAAAATTTCGACCCGAAAAAAAAACGACAGTGTTACCCCTTACGTTTTTTTCAGTTTTCGGGCGAAAAATCAAGTTTCTCCAATCTTCTCAAAACTCTGGATTATGATAGAGGGCCGCGAGACTTTGACCTGAGCGCAAAAATGGAGGCTCTAGACCCTTCCAGAGCTGAGATATCGAAACTCAAAATTTCGACCCGAAAAAAAAACGACAGTGTTACCCCTTACGTTTTTTTCAGTTTTCGGGCGAAAAATCAAGTTTCTCCAATCTTCTCAAAACTCTGGATTATGATAGAGGGCCGCGAGACTTTGACCTGAGCGCAAAAATGGAGGCTCTAGACCCTTCCAGAGCTGAGATATCGAAACTCAAAATTTCGACCCGAAAAAAAAAACGACAGTGTTACCCCTTACGTTTTTTTCAGTTTTCGGGCGAAAAATCAAGTTTCTCCAATCTTCTCAAAACTCTGGATTATGATAGAGGGCCGCGAGACTTTGACCTGAGCGCAAAAATGGAGGCTCTAGACCCTTCCAGAGCTGAGATATCGAAACTCAAAATTTCGACCCGAAAAAAAAAAAACGACAGTGTTACCCCTTACGTTTTTTTCAGTTTTCGGGCGAAAAATCTAGTTTCTCCAATCTTCTCAAAACTCTGGATTATGATAGAGGGCCGCGAGACTTTGACCTGAGCGCAAAAATGGAGGCTCTAGACCCTTCCAGAGCTGAGATATCGAAACTCAAAATTTCGACCCGAAAAAAAAACGACAGTGTTACCCCTTACGTTTTTTTTTTTTCGGGCGAAAAATTAAGTTTCTCCAATCTTCTCAAAACTCTGGATTCTGATAGAGGGCCATGAGACTTAAACCTGAGTGCAAAAATGGAGGCTCTAGACCCTTCCAGAGCTGAGATATCGAAACTCAAAATTTCGACCCGAAAAAAAAAACGACAGTGGTACCCCTTTCGTTTTTTTTTTTTTTTGGGCGAAAAATGAAGTTTCACCAATCTTCTCAAAACTCTGGATTCTGATAGAGGGCCATGAGACTTAAACCTGAGTGCAAAAATGGAGGCTCTAGACCCTTCCAGATTTGAGATATCGAATCTCAAAATTTCGACCCGAAAAAAAAACGACAGTGGTACCCCTTTTGTTTTTTTTTTTGGGGTGAAAAATGAAGTTTCTCCAATTTTTTCAAAACTCTGGATTCTGATAGAGGGCCATGAGACTTAAACCTGAGTGCAAAAATGGAGGCTCTAGATCCATTCAGAGCTGAGATATCGAATCTCAAAATTTCGACCCGAAAAAAAAATGACAGTGGTACCCCTTTCGGTTTTTTTTCGGGCGAAAAATGAAGTTTCTCAAAACTCTGGATTCTGATAGAGGGCCATGAGACTTAAACCTGAGTGCAAAATGGAGGCTCTAGACCCTTCCAGAGCTGAGATATCGAATCTTAAAATTTCGATCCGAAAAAAAAAAAAACGACAGTGTTACCCCTTACGTTTTTGTTTTTGTTTTTCGGGCGAAAAATGAAGTTTCTCCAATCTTCTCAAAACTCTGGATTCTGATAGAGGGCCATGAGACTTAAACCTGAGTGCAAAAATGGAGGCTCTAGACGAAATTTTGGGTCGAAATTTTGAGTTTCTCTGACCTTCTTGAAACTCTGGATTCTGATAGAGGGCCATGCGACTTAGACCTGAGTGCAAAAATGGAGGCTCTAGACCCTTCCTGAGCTGAGATCCCACGTAGCATTATATTATCGCGGACGGTGGAATTTCGGGACGGCCCTTGGTGCCACAGACTCAGGGGGCCTCTCTAAATTCATTTAAAAAAAGGAATCAGTGGGAGTGGAATGCTCAGTCCATCTTACCCAAAATTTTATATTTGTATTATATTTTAACTCTTTTTTTCTATAAAAAGTTTAATATATTTAATTATAGTTGTTCCTAACCATTTATTTGCAATTGATTTTCTGGTAAAGTTCCAAGGCTTCATTATATTTGTGTAAAGACTTTAGTGCCTCTGAGGTGTATTTTCAGCCATGATGTTTTCCATTTTCTACAGGTTCCAGAGTTCATCCAGTTCCTCACCGTCAAAGGAGATCCACAAACGAGTGCAGAGAATCCTCAGCAGCTCTGGTCCCCGCTGCAAGCTTTCCTTTGTACGTCACCCCTGAGATTGCAACGCATGTAATGCTGTCATTCAATGCGCACGTTAACCCATGCAAACTGATTCTCCAAAACACTCATTATAGCACATGTCAGTGTTTCAAACGTCCTCCATTGATTCTGTCAGGCACTCTGTATTCTTCACATCCATTGTGTCAGGATGTGCTGCCACTGTCTTTCAGGAAGTGAACGAGGTAATCACCTTACGTGCTCATTCTTTCTGTTCGCGTGAGTCGTGGGCCGCTTAAACGCATCACCGCCCACGCCGTGTTTTGCTGGAAGACCCTGACGAGAAAGAAAAGCGAAAGAGTTCTAATTACTCTAAAGCTTCCCCAAATCCTTCCATAGAGGAAAAAAAGGAGCACATGTTCAGTGGTAGGGAGGTCTACAGGCTCATCTTTTAGAGAGGGGAGAGATTCCATAGTCGGGTGCCAAGCTCTGTGTGGCTGAAGCCCAGCTCGAGAAAGGAAATGTGTAATCCACTTCAGAGTTATAAGTCGAGAAGGGCTAGGGTTTTTTTTTTAAAAAATTGTTTTAATCAAGCTCAATTGAAGATGCTTTTGTTAGTTTCACTCTTTGTTGCATTAGCAGATTTTGGAGATATTCAGCTACACTGCTTTGTGCCAACATATTGATTAAACCATTTTTTGATGGTGTTTTTAGAGAATACTTTCCACAACTTAAATATGTGTGTGTTGTCAGGATGAAGAGAGTGAGGCGGGTTCATGTGGGTCCACCCACCCACAACATGGTGACAGCTGGCTGCCGCAGGACAGGTAAACAACACCTCATTTCAGACTTTTTAGGATTTTTGGTCTAAATTGAAATTGAAATAATCTTTCTATAATGTGTAAACTTAGTATCATACTTATATACTGTTTTGTACTAAGATACTCCTACATGTTACAAATAACATAAAATGTGTCTTCAAGGATAGAAATTGAAAATGTGAATTTGTTATAGTTGAGTTTGCAACATACAATTATAAATTTTTATTTGACTTTTAATAAAAATTGTATTTTGTCTGTACTGCAGGCTAATTCCTGGGGAACCATCTGTTCATTTAGACAACGGCACATTTTGGAGTAACAGAGCGGCCGTCTACTCTGGGAAGCCTCACAGAGCTGTGTTTGAGGACAGTTTGAGCAAAATCTACAAGAACCTCTACAGAAACGCTTCACAGCCAGGACACGGTGGAGAAAGCAGCTGGACACAATGACCAAAGACATGCAACTAGTCTTTTAATGCAGTGGTTTTCAATCATGGTCCTGGAAACCCACTTTTCTGAATATCGTCCACTTGGAATTATAAGGTTCTATCAGCCCTGGAGGCTGACGAGGGCATGGCTGAATTAGAGCAGGAAGCCTCCAGGGCGGAGCAGGCTGAGGGCATGACCAGAGCGGAGCAGGACGAGAGCGTGGCTGAGCAAGCTGAGGGCGTGACCAGGGTGGAGCAGGATGTGGGCGTGGCAGAGCAGGCTGAGGGCGTGACCAGGGCAGAGCAGGACATAGACGTGACAGAACAGGCTGAGGGCGGAGCAGGACATGGACGTGGCAGAGCAGGCTGAGGGCGTGGCCAGGGCGGAGCAGGTTGAGGGCGTTGCCAGGGCGGAGCAGGATGAGGGCATTGCCAGGATGGTGAAGACCCAACTCCAAACAAGTACAAGGAAGACTGGCAGAAGAATACATACACTATCCATGAAACATAATCAAGAACCGACAAGCACAGACTGAACCAGAGAGAACTAAATACAGATAGGTGGATGATTGAGGGAGTGAGTTCAGGTGTGGAGACAAGAGGATGCTGGGAAGTCTAGTGAAGATGACGAAGACAGAATGGTGCAGTCAAAGACTGACAATTATAGTCAGTGAATAATTTTTCAATGATTTTTAAACTTTATGAATTAATTTGCTGAAGCATGTCGATTTTCTTGCAGTTCTTAAAGTCTTAAAGTGTCTTATTTTTTACCATATTAAGGCTTATAGGTCAAATATTTAACAATTTAATTAACGGGGTCTTAATTACAACAATAAACGTTTGCAAGTTATTTCAGCCATATTGAGGTCTAGAGAGAAAGCCATTTTACCCGGTCCACTTTAGCTGGAATAAAGTCCTGCTCGGATGTATTACAGTGGCTGCTTTCTGTCTAAGCAAAAGAAAGATTAAAGTATAATTTGTGCAATAATGTGTTTAATTACCCACCAAATTGATATCAAAAATGAAGATTATGCACTGGGGAAAATATTTAGACCTACCTTGCTCAATTTGAAATGCCCTAAATACATGGAAGTGCTAAAAAAAAATATTAAATAAATGTAATAGAAATGATAAAATTTTACTTTCGAACACATGTTGAGACATTGTTACAACATTATTATTTTATTTAATGTTCAAATAATGTTAGAATTAGAAGGTTCTATCTGCATTTGATCCAATCCAAAAATCCCCATTTACAAATTTGAGAGGATTTTGATATTTTATGTTTAGAATACATTTAGGGACCCTGTTATTTTCATGTTTGAAAGAAACTTGTTCCCCATATAAATTTTCCTATATGTAATGCAAAAACTTTGAAGCGCAATATCTCAAAACTGCTCAGAATGCAGATAGAACCTTATAATTCCAATGGGACGTAGTGTGTGTAATCTTCTGCCAGTCTTCCTTGTACCTGCTTGGAGTTTTTGAGTAAATGTTTTGTATTGAAGCTTTGCTTCAGCCTATAAGCCTAAGATATGTTGTGTATCGCCCTTATTCAAAGGGATAGGTTACCCAAAAATAATAATTCTGTTAACATTTACGAACTCTCAAATTTTTCCAAACCTGTATACTGGTAAATGTCTTTGTTCTGCTGAACACAAAGGAAGATATTTGAAAGAATGTTTGTAATCAAGCCCAAGTCTCAGGCCCCATTGACTACCATAGATTTTTTTTTCCTACTACAGTAGTCAATGGGGCCCAAGAGCAGTTTAGTTACCAACATTCTTCAAAATATCTTACTTTGTTCAGCAGAACAAAGACATTTATACAGGTTTAAAACAACTTAAGGGTGACAAATGATAATTTAAATTTTTGGGTGAAGTATCCCTTTAAAGGGTTAGTTCACCCAAAAATGAAGATTCTGTCAGTATTTACTCGCCCTCATTTTGTTCCAAACCTCTATGTGTTTATTTGTTCTGCTGAACACAAAGGAAGATATTTGGAAGAATGTTTTAATCAAACAGATCTCATTCCCCATTGACTACCATAGTATGTATTTTTTCCTACTATGGTAGTCAATGGGGAATGAGATCTGTTTGATTAAACATTCTTCCAAATATCTTCCTTTGTGTTCAGCAGAACAAATAAACACATAGAGGTTTGGAACAACATGAGGGCGAGTAAATACTGACAGAATTTTTATTTTTGGGTGAACTAACCCTTTAAAGGGATACTCCACTTTTTTTGGAAATATCTGGTTCTGGCAGTACCACTTTTAGCATAGCTTAGCATACATCATTGAAGTGCACAAGACCATTAGCATTTCTCAGAAAAAAAATGACCAAGTGTTTTGATATTTTTTCTATTTAAAACTTGACTCTTCTGTAGTTACATTAAGACAGATGGAAAATGTAAAGTTGTGAACTTGTGATTTTCTAGGCTGATATGACTAGGAACTATACTCTCATTCCTGCGTAATAATCAGGAAACTTCACTGCCGTACCAGGAGTGCAGCAGGCGTAATGTCATGACGCAGCGCCTGAAAATAGTCCCCAGCTTCCAACGTGACCGGGACTAAGTTTGTGTAGTCATCGCGCCTGCTGCACTCATGGTACGGCAGTAAAGTTTCTTGATTATTACACAGGAATGAGAGTAGATCAGCCTAGAAAATCGAAACTTTACATTTTCCGTCGGTCTTAATGCACTATTTAACTATAGAAGAGTCAAGTTTTAAATAGGAAAAATATAAAAACACTTTGGCAATTTTTTGGGGAGAAATGCTAATGGTCTTGTGCACTTTAATGATGTATGCTAAGCTATGCCAAAAGTGGTACTGGCAGAACCGGAGATCGGCTGAATGGATTCAAAAAAGGTAAAACTCAACAGTCTGACTCTGGGGGAGTTATAAAATGAGCCTATTTCCAAAAAAAAAAGTGTAATATCCCTTTAACATGAGCTTCATGAACTGCACAGAGGGTATCAGATAAGACATACATACATACATACATACATACATACATACATCTTCTTCCGCTTCATCCGGGGCCGGGTCGCGGGGGCAGCAGTCGAAGCAGAGATGCCCAGACTTCCCTCTCCCTAGACACTTCCTCCAGCTCTTCTGGGGGGACACCGAGGCGTTCCCAGGCCAGCCGGGAGACATAGTCTTTCCAGCGTGTCCTAGGTCTTCCCTGGGGCCTCCGCCCAGTGGGACGTGCCCGGAACACCTCCCCAGGAAGGCGCCCAGGAGGCATCTGGAACAGATGCCCGAGCCACTTCAGCTGACCCCTCTCGATGTGGAGGAGCAGCGGCTCTACTCTGAGCTCCTCCCGAGTGACCGAGCTTCTCACCCTATCTCTAAGGGATCGCCCAGCCACCCTGCGGAGAAAGCTCATTTTGGCCGCCTGTATCCGGGATCTTGTCCTTTCGGTCATGACCCAAAGCTCATGACCATAGGTAAGCGTAGGAACGTAGATTGACCGGTAAATCGAGAGCTTTGCCTTACGGCTCAGCTCCTTCTTCACCACAACAGACCGGTACATCGACCGCATTGCTGCAGAAGCTGCACCGATCCGTCTGTCAATCTCCCGTTCCATCCTTCCCTCACTCGTGAACAAAACCCCAAGATACTTAAACTCCTCCACTTGAGGAAGGATTTCTCCACCAACCTGAAGTGAGCAAGCCACCCTTTTCCGACTGAGGACCATGGCCTCGGATTTGGAGGTGCTGATTCTCATCCCAGCCGCTTCACACTCGGCTGCAAACCTCCCCAGTGCATGCTGAAGGTCCAGGTGTGAAGGGGCCAACACGACAACATCATCCGCAAAGAGCAGAGACGAAATCGTGCGGTCCCCAAACCTGACACCCTTCGGCCCCTTGCTGCGCCTAAAAAATTCCGTCCATAAAAATTAAGAACAGAACCGGCGACAAAGGGCAGCCCTGCCGGAGTCCAACATGCACTGGGAAGAAGTCTGACTTATTACCGGCAATGTGAACCAAGCTCCTGCTTCGGTCATACAGGGACCGGACAGCCCTTAGCAAAACCACATTTTGTATGTCTGTCTTATCAGATAAGACAGACATACAAAATGTGGTTCCCATGACTGAAAACCACTGATTTAATGGACTTGCATATGCCAAATCAGGAAAGGGGGAGGGGGTGCAGGAGCTTTATATGTTATACACGTTATCTTAACTTTAAAGGAGAACTCCGGCGAACAATGAACCTTTGGTCTAATAAAACATCGGTACATAGTCAACCGTTCTCTGAGATTTGTTTTCATGATAATCGATTGTAAAGAGTTTTATCTCTAAAAACTGTTTAGCGTATAATTCTAGTACTGGGGGCATTGACTAAGTAAAAGAAATCGCTAGTTTATACCACTAATAAAGCTCAAAATAGCCCCACACTCACACAGTAATATAATGAGGCTCCATACATGCAAAACGAATTTAACGTTTTAAACGTTTAATAAGAAGATACTTTATGAAGACAGTTCACTTCGCGTATACAGACAGGAGCCATCTTAAAAAATAGTCTCGATAAGTCGATCCCCGAACGACGTGCTGAGTGATCTGAGCTGTATGAAGTTCAGCGAACTTCTGAACTGTATGAACCGCTTTCGGGGATCGACTTATCGAGACTATTTTTTAAGATGGCTGCTGTCTGTATACACGAAGTGAACTGTCTTCATAAAGTATCTTCTTATTAAACGGTCTGTACACTTACAAAGTTCCCAATGCTTCGTTTTTTACATGTATGGAGCCTCAGTATGTTTCTGTGTTAGTGTGGGGCTATTTTGAGCCTTGTTAGTGGTATAAACTAGCGATTTCTTTTACTTAGTCAATGCCCCCAGTACTAGCATTATACGCTAAACAGTTTTTAGAGATAAATCTCTTTACATTCGATTATCAAGAAAACAAATCTCAGAGAACGATTGACTAGGCACCGATGTTTTATTAGACCAAAGGTTCATTGTTCGCCGGAGTTCTCCTTTAATAATGATAACATAATTAGTAAAAAGGAAAGAAAAACAGCAGTACTTTTGGTTTGAACGTGATTTATTGTGAATCCACAGTCAGAGAGGAGTAATCGGGGGTAATCAAGTCTTTCATTCAATCGCAATCCAGTTAAGGAAAAACTTTAAAAAGTATAAAATATTTTTTCTCTGTACAAGTAGCCTTTTCAATCTGCTGAATTTAATTGCTGTATATTTACAAAGGCCAGTTTGGGCATGTGTGGTATATATAATTCACATATATAAACCTATGTCTTGTGTAAAAAAATAAAAATAAAAAAACACAGACAGGAGAAAAATAAAAAATCAGACTTGCCTTGTGAAATTATTTATTCATTTTCTTTTTATGGAACTTGTGCTTTTTGTTCATCTTACCAGCAGCCTGTGCTGCTTTTTCTGTCATGATCTCTTGATATTTCCTTTTGTTATAGCTAAAAGAGAATAAAATATGTTTTAGAACTTTTAATTTAATTAATTTAGAACAATTAATTTAAAACAATAAATAATAAAACTCATTGTTGAGAATATAAATAATTTATTACATTCTAATCAGCCACAGTTTCTTTAACTTACCTTCTAAACTCTGCATCAGCAAGAAGCTCCTCCACAATGGTTCTTTTCCTTTGTTTCTTGGGGATTCGTGAATTATAAAAGTCTACTGGGCTGTCAACCACTGTACCAACCTGAAAAAAAAGGGCTAAACTTTACTCAAGAGAACAGAACAATATGGCATTGTCTGCTTTCTTTAATCAGGCATGCCTGTGGTTAATTGCAATGTCAGCATTTTGATTACACTACAATTCTCAATTTTTGTTTTTACATTTTTTTGTCTCAGAAATAATGGCTTTTTGAAAAATAGTTTGAAGGGAAAAGTTTGCAGATAAAAACTCCCAAACCGACCTGAAAGTATTTGGGAAATCCGTCTCTATCGTTCTTCTTGTAGAAGCGCTTTGGGTCCATGGCCGAGCGCATCTGCTGAGCCTTCAGGTCATTTTTGAGCTCTTCTGTTAATTCAGGAGCTTTCATGTTGAACCAGCCATCGCCAGATGTCTTTTCTCTTTCCGCCTGGATGAGACACATAAGATATTGCTTGTAAACAATGTGATCAAAAGCATGGAAATTACAAACAATTTTCAACACTATAGCTATAACAATCTAAGTGAAAACACAGACATCATATCCTGAGTATTTAAGGTTTAAAGTGGCATATAACACTACTATTCAAGAGTTTGGAGTCTATTATGAAAGACTCTTACAAATCACCATGGCTGCCTTTACTACATAAAAAAAAAAAAAACACAATATATTTTAAAATACACACAAAAAACATCATCCATTACATGTTACGTGACCTTTCAGCATTCTGTTTATGCTGATTTGGTGCTCAAGAAACATTTCTTATTATCAATGTCGAAAAACCATCATGCTGGATAACATTTTTGTGGAAAGAATTTTTAGGCTTCTTTGACGAATAGAAATTTAGTTTTAGATATAAATCTTTCGTAACATTATACATATTCAACAGGATCATCCATTTCAGAACTGGTCTGCTCACCTTGCGCTTGAGTTTCGCAGCATGCTTTGATTCCTTGTAAGGTGGCACAGCATCTTTCTTCTCAAAATCAGGAACAATAACACTCTTCTTCAGCAACTACACAAATACAACACGTTTCATGCCTTCACTGAACAGTAACATCTTCACAAAATGCTTTTAAATGTCAAATAAAGAATGTTTCATCCAGGATAATTAATGATAAAATAAACTTTAATTACCTCATCCGGATTGTTCAGGTTCTTCTGGGTTTGCGAATTGTTGAAAGGATTCTTTGGCGTGTTACCATCAAAACTGATGTACAAACCACCAAGTTCCTTCATTTTCAGACCTGGGTCAATGGAACTTGATAGATGTATCCTGAGAGAGAGAGAATATAAATATTACATTTATATATTTAATGAAGAGCTCTAAATATTTAGATTCACATTTAAACAACCATCAACTCACACACGCTCGATATGCAAGAACCAATGAGGTTTATTCTGATGTGTTATGCAGCACGTGTGAGCTAACAAGAGGTTTGTACTCACGCGTCAAGCAGGTTCGGTTGAACTTGTTTGTTCAATGTATAAATGCGAATAAAAAGCCTAAATTCAATCTGTTCATCATATAAAGCGATCGTGTCTCTTCAGAAATTCAGAACTAAACCACTTAATTCATATGGATTAGTTGATGGAACTTATTAAAGCGTCAAATTGTCAGTTGCACTGCTTTCAATGAATGAAGGGATACAAAGCTCTCAGATTTAATCAAAAAGATCTTCGTTTGTGTTCCAAAGACAAACGAAAGTCTTATGGGTTTAGAACGATTAATGACAGAATTATAGTTTATAAAACCTTTAAGAGGTTTTAATATGTACAAGTCAATACTATTAAAAAAGCAGCAATAAACATAACTTACAGAGGCTTTTTGGGAGCAAAGAGCACTTTTGAATCGTCGTCATCATCATCATCATCTCCCTCTTCATCTACGAAATCATCCTCATCCTCTTCCTTAGTTTGCTTTTTATCAATATAGTACTGTTCTTTAGGCTGTAGCCCAGGTCTAGTGTCTATGACAAAAAGTCCGTTACCATGAGCCTCTGCTTCTTCCGACATCTGATTTTCCTCAGGGCACATCACATCTTCACTCTCCACATCTACAGCTTCCTGTGAACAACCCTCCTCTGAAGGCAGACCTTCATCAGCACTGTCTTCATCCTCACTGCTGTCGAGTAAACTGATCATTTGTTTCTGGGGAGGCAGTTCCTCTGTGGTGGTCAAATATGCTTGAGAATGTGAGCTTGTAGAAGGGCCTTCAATGTCCTTCAATGTTACAGAGTCATCCTCAGTTGTCTTGGTGTTATTAGCTTCCTCACTAACTATTACACCTTTCTTCTCACACTCAGCGATTTCCTCATGCTCCTCAACCACATATGGTATAAGATCTTTTGGGGCGTCTTCTACTCTATCCTTCGTCACAGGTTCAGAACATGTCTGAGCTTCAATAATCTTCTCAACCACAGCTGGTTCAGGATCTTCTGTTTCCACCGTATCCTCTGTCACAGGTTCAGAACCTCTCTGATCCTCAATGTTCTCAACCACAGCCGGTACAGGATCTTCTGCGACTGTTTCTACCATATCCTCCGTCACAGGTTCAGAACATTTCTGATCCTCAATGATCTTCTCAACCACAACTAGTACAGGACCTTCAGCGGCTGCTTCTACCATATCCTTCTCCACAGGCTCAGTACATGTTTGATCAACATGGCTTGTTTCCACAAACTCTGGTTCATTATTTTCCATGTAAACATCTGGTTCTTTATCTTCAATTAGTGTAGCAGACGTTTCAGCCACTGGTTCTTCCTGAGGCTTCAGAGTTTCAGTTTCAC